ACACAGGAAAGGGGGGGGGGAGACGGCGGGGGCGGGAGGGGGAGTCGGGGGCTCCCAGGGTGCAGGTCCTTCTGCGGCTTGACCTGCACAGGCTGGGCTGAGGCTCAGGAGGGGCCCCCACAAACAAAAAGACAGACCCCTCGTGGCCACTGTTGGAACATTCCAGTCCTGCAGGGAGCACCAAGATGTAGCGCCCATAGGCCCGCCCCACGTTTTTGGTGAAAGATGGCTCCACTCACGGGTTTTTCAAGACATACCCTCAGAAAAAAAAAAAATTAAATTTCTTTCTTGTTCTCGTCATGCTCTGCCCAATGTGTTATTGCAGAGTACCTGCGCTGCCTTTGAATTGCTGGATAAAGTTGTGTTTTCCTCATTAGAGAAGCAGCGTGCTACTCCCTGGGGGGAACTTGGAGAGGTTCGAACATGGAAAGAAGGAAACTCAGCTGCAGCCCCCACCCCACCTGGACACACCTGGACACACCTCAGGACTGCCGCGACTGCCGGGAGCCTGGGGTCACCCAGCTCTGTTGGTCTGGTGGACTAGGGGCAGGGGGAGGCCCCCCAGTGTGGGGAGGCTGGGAAGGGTGTGAACAACCTCCCTCCTTCCAACACTTCACCATAGACCCCAAGAGGGAGCATGGCTCCTCCCCAGACGTCCTGGGGATGGGATAAGAGTAGGGGGCAGCTTCCAAGGTGGGGTGCCCCGTGGTCAGTCCCATGCTTCCAGTCCAGGAATTAGCTGCAGGGCCCTATGGGGTTGTCCATCTGTGTGCCCAGAGGACAGGTGGGCAGCCCAGCAGCTGGCTGTGTCTGGGGCTCATGATAAATAGCCCTGTCTAGACAGAGGGCACACACAGGGTCTTTGGCTCCCAGAGCCTGCTGCTGAGGCACGGGGACATCAGCCCGGGCCCAGAGAGAAGCAGCCACATCCCTGGTCCTAAAAAACTCACCAGCAGCTGTGGGGCTGCGGCTGTCCCTGGGTGGTCTGTCCAGGAAGGTGAGAGCATCCTGGCTCTGCCGCAGTGCCCAGCTCCTGCCTGCTGGCGTCTCTCTGGCCAGGTGACCTCCAGTGAGTCACCTGACCGCTCAGATCCAGACTGAGAAGGAAAACAGAAAACTTCTTTGCCCGGATGAAGTGGGGAGGCCTCACAGGGCAGCCAGGCCTCACCTTCAAGGTCAAGGGCATCGCCCCTCCCTCCTGGCAGAGCAGCAGGTGCCTCCCCCTGCCTGACCCTGGCCCGCCCAGGTGCTGCCGGCTGGTGCCCCTGCCCTTGGCCCCATCTGGCCTGCTTTGTGTCTGGGGCTCTGGCAGTGGGCACCCCGTCCTCCGCGCCTCCTATGCCTGCCTGCCCTGTCTGAGCACCAAGGTCACCACCGTGTCCCAGCAGCTCCCGTCCAAAGGCACCGCCAAACTCGGACACAACACTTAGTCTTGTGTCGTCCTCCCTAGAGGACCGGCTCTCCGAGGGCACCGAGCTGCCGCCAAGTCACCCCTCTCTCCTGGGCCTGGGAAGAGGGGCTACAGAGGCACACAGCCCATGGACGGACAGGTGGACAGCTGGGTGGATGGGCGATGGGTGAAGGACAGGGCAGAGTGAATCACTGGTCCCACCAACTGCAGTGCAGCAGGGGAAGTGGACAGGCTGGTCCTGAAGTCTGGAAGCTTCCAGAAGAGCCCACACCTGGCCAAGGTCAGACAGCGCAGCCCGGCCACCCAAGCTGCTCCGTGCAGGACCCTGGATTGGAGCTGGGGTGTGTCCCTGCCACGGTTCCCATCCCCAAGGAGCTCGATGTCTGGAGAAGGGTCAGGCACACTAACAAGGACGGTGTGAAGCTCAGTCAGGCGCATTAGTCCCCGCGTGCCCTTGATAATCCCGGTTTGTGACTGCGGCCCTGGCCCCCTTTCTACTGGCAAGATTTCTGGTTTGGATGTTAAATCATCTGGTCACCCTAACATTAGGGGAGTCCAAAGGAGCGTCCCATGTCCCACTGAGGAAGCAGGGGAGGCTTCCTGGAGGAAGAGGCTTGGGAAGGCCGTGTGGGGCCAGGAGGCAAGGAGGCCGTCCCCGGCACAGCAGGTGGGTCTCCCAGCAGCCTGGACGGGAGTGGGGGCCCTTCCGCAGGTGCCTGAGCAGAGACTGAAGCAGCCCCTCGGGCAGCAGAGGGACCCGTGGCTCAGGGACACACCTGTGGAGAACTGAGAGTTTGAGGATATCAAGGTCTCCGACTTGCAAGGGGCCGCGTCCCTCCGCTTCCTCTGGGCCTGCCTGCTGTGCACCGCCTGTCCTCCACGGTTTTCGGTACAGGTGTCTTGTACATTTCTTGTAAAATTCACTCCTCAGGAGTTCTGGGTGTCTCAGGACAGTGTAAAGGGATTTTCCGTTTCATTTCCTAATGGCCTGTGACCTGTGGGTGGCTTACTGGTTTTGTGTTGATGTGACAGCCATCCTTCCGACTTGCGACATTTGCTGATCAGTTCTAATAAAGCCAGTGCTCTTCACCAGGTGTCTGGGCCTGGAGGGTTAGTGTAAGAGTTTAAGGTTCTACTTCTATTTTTTTTTTCTCCCTCTCTCATTTTTTTTCTTTTTGGTACCAGGGATTGAACCCAGAGGGGTGCTTAACTAATGAGCCCCATCCCAGCCCTTTTTTGTATTTTATTTAGAGACAGGGTCTCCCTGAGTTGCTGAGGGCCTCACTAAGTTGCTGAGGCTGGCTTTGAACTGGCCATCCTCCTGCCTCAGCCTCCGGAGCTGCTGGGATCACAGGCGTGGCCACCGCGCCCAGCTCAGTTCCTATTCCTCAACACACACAGGGCTACTCGGGTTCCTTTTCTCCTGTGTCACTTGCAGCAAGTCTTTGCCCCCGAGGAGTCAGTCCGTGTCCTCAGAGCTTGAGTCTGCTGGCATGAAGTGGTATCTGGAGTCCCCCGCCAGGCTCCCGTGCCTGTCAAATCTGACTGCTGCTCCGTTCTCCTGGGCGCGTAGGCGGCGGGGGCTCCCTCTCACTGGGCTGGCGGAGGCTTGGTCGGGGCTCACAGTCTTTCAGAGGGCCAGCTTTCATTTGTTGACCTTTCTGGGCTGACCTTCCGTTTTCTCTGACTTCTGCTCCTCCTTATCACACCTTTCCTTCTACCTAGGAAGCTTTAGTTTGCTCTTCTAACGTGAGTAGCTTACGTAACTTCCCTTGACTCTTAAGGGGGACTGAGCAAGGCCTTCCAAAGACGCCCAGGTTCTCTGTAACATGCGCCTGCTCCCCAGGAACACAGACCCCGGAGTCGCTTCTTAAAAGTCATACCAACACATGACGCCAAGACCACGCACTTTAGAGTCGAAGACACAAATGTGCTGAATGTGCCAAGACGTAAGACGATAGACCCCGCGAATGATAGCCAGGGAGGTTATGCCCATGAGGATCCTGAGCTGGGCCCGACGCCTGGAGCAACGGGCTGCTCCATGCAGGGTCCTTGCCAGAGGTGGAAGGAAATCAGAGTGGGCCACAGGACGTGTGGCGATGAAGAGGTTCAGCGGTGAGGGGAGAAGGGCCCACAGACCAGGAGGGGAAGCAGCCCCTGGAGCCGGAAACAGCCAAAGACAGTGCTCCCCGGGCCTCCAGAGGGGTGCGGCTGCCAACACCCTGGCTGTGGCCCAGAGAGACTGAGTCCAGACTTGTGGCCCTGGAAGTGCTCAATGGTAACCCTGAGCTGCCTGGAGCCCCTCGGTTTGTGGACATTTGTTACAGCAGCTACGGGGAACTCATACAGACGGTCTCCCGGCTTCTGCCTGTTTTTATATGCTCCCCTGTGATTTCACACACCCGTGTTTTATTTCTTCCAGGGTTTGCGGCTATCTAACAGCAGGAGGGTCCATCTGATATCAGCGGCTCTGCCATTACCAGACTCAGAGAGGGACAGTAACAATTCTGAACTTCACAGCGCATGGATCCCAAGGGCCCATGCGGCCTGGGCCTGCCTTGCAGGTGTGTGTGGATCAAGTGAGGTCATCCACTGAGAGTGCCACGTAAGGTCTGCATGAGCCGAGCCGACAGGGATGCTGGTGTGTCCAGAGAATCAGAAAGGCCGAGAGCGAGGCCCAAGACGCACAGTGGGTCCACAGAACTCATGCAAAGTGAGTTTGGGTGCCTTGGGCAGGCTGCTTTCAAATGCCCTCGTCTCCCCTCCCCTCACCTGTCAGTCAGAGCCTCCTTCTCCGGCGGAGGTGATGTTTTCCTTCTGTGGGTGCCGGTCCACGAGCACACTCCTGGGCAGGAGGAAGAAAGGCCAGGCCTGGAAGAAACCTGCCCAAAGCTCAGGGAGGCCCTGCGGCTGCGCTGTCCTCCCCGTGCCCCAACCTGGCGTCCTACCTGCTGACCTTTTCCAGCCAGAACTCCCCATCTGTCCACAAGTGACGACCGCGCTGCCGCCTCACACAGGGCAGGGGGCTGGGGGAAGAGCCCCCACTCCTCCAAACCCACTGTTGGAGCTGCCGAGGGTCTTCGCCCTCGAGGGCACTGGGTATCTCCAGCAGCATCAGAGAGGCCGCTCTTGACAGGAGAGCTCAGCAGACATCAGAGGAAGGGCAGGTCCTCTGGGGTGACCTCCTGGGCCAGGCCCCAACCCACAGGGTCTGCAGACATGCATCTTTGTTGGCATCTGGGTGCAATCAAAATATTTCTGAACAGTTGGTAGCCCTGAACAAAGGGGATTTCACATAAAATCCAGGTGCCTGGCCTCGCCCAAATGTCAGAAGCCGCCAACCTGTCCCACGTCATCACCTGGCCACGTGGGAGGGGCTGGAGGGGCCGGGGCATCAGGCGTGCACGTCCCCTCGCCCCGCCACACCCTCTCCACTGCCGGCCAGGGTCAGGTCTGTCACTGCACGGCACCGTCATCTTCTAGGTGGAAGAGAAAAGCGAGGTTTTGCTCCAGCTCTTTGTGAACAGGGGAAACGAGCAGGAGGTGTGTCTCGGGAAGAGCGGCTCTCTATTCTTTGAGGATACGATGA